TGCTTAAATTCCTTTTTAAACCTGCATTAGATTTGCCTATCTAGCCTAAGGACATTAAATTTTCTCTCGAATGCTTGTCTATCAGTCACCCTTTCCCACCGAATCCCAAGTATTTTTTATTTTTATCTTTTGTCTTTTTATATATATTTTTATATATCTATATGTTGTATAATATATAATATTTCTCTTAATTCCGATGAAAATTCTGTTCAAATCGATCGAACGTGTCATTCATCAGGATTTTCTTATCGAAGAATTTCATTTCTCTTTGATTATGTCTCGGATATGGCTAGTTGGAATGTGTTTGTCTCGCATTTTCTCGGTACACAGTTTCCTTTTTCTAATTTGAATATTATAGTATCAGTAATGCGCATGCACGTGGTTAATCTAATGTCTCTTTCCGTGTGCAACGAACGAGCAACAACAGAATTGAAAGAAATTAAGGTATAAGGTTCCGTCCAAAAAGAGATGATAGATCTTTAATATGTGTGACGCTTAATGATTATATAATAACCGTTGGTTTCATTTTGTACGTACATCGTATGATTGTGTGATGGAGAATCGACAGGGCACTCGATTATTAATTGAAACAATTAAATTGGAATATAAATTTTCGAGGTGTTCGAATAATGGATCGATTCGATAAACTTTCATTGTCTTCAATAATCGGGGCTAATAATGGGCCCCGATATTGGATACGAATTCCGATCTTGGGATTCGAATATCGTTCTATTTAGTGTTTTTGTTGTTTTTTTTTTGTTGTTGTTTTTGCCTATTTTTTTTTTTTCTGAAGCTCTGAGTATTAACAACGACTAGGTTCTAAAATATTAATTAGGTCAACAAGGATCCACCTCGTACGCGGATAACGAGGATCCTCCTCCACTTATTCGTCCCTTTGAGCAAAGGATCGATGGCAAAGGACGATTAATTACTCTTAACGTCCACTTCAATCTTTTGCATATCGTGTAATTAGAAGGAAACGATAATATTTAAATCTTAAAATATTAATAATCGCAAAAACTGATCGAAATTTTTCGAAAACAGCGTAGCCACAAAAGTCTCTGGGATTTATTTTTCGAAGCATTGCAATTAAATTCTATTTCTTTCTTTTTTTTTTTTTTTTTTTTTCGTATTCGTCGAAATAAATTTCCAATTTTAACTATTATTTACCTGAATCTATACAAATTATTTATAAAAAAGAAAAATGAAAACGTAGAAAAGGGAAGATATGATAGTTAATATTAGCGGACTGTTAAGAGGACAAAAAGTGGAGTTAGGCCTTTGTTATTCTAGAAAAATTACACACGTATTTTTGTCACTTTCTCCTTCTTCTCGCGCTCTTCCATTCACTCACGTTCAACAAAACGCATCGCAAAATTCGCATAAAACGATTCACGCGCACGGATATGAGTTAACATATTTATTATTTGGTATTTCTCTCTCTCTCTCTCTCTCTCTCTTTTAATTCTTTTAAATTTGAACGCAGCGGGTTTTTCGGTAATGTTTAATTGTTTCTCCACCTCCCCTGAACCTCTTACAATATATCAAACGACGATCGTGTATCGCATTTTTTTCTTTTTTTTTTTTCAATTTTCTTATTCTCGTCTTTTGTACACGTAAATATAATAATAAACTATGCGACGCGTACACCAGTGTACAAGCGTCTATAATAAATATAATGTAAATATACATATATATACTATATATGTATATCTGTAACGTGTATATATACATACATACATATATATATATATATATATACGTTATACGATACAGCTAGCAACACTTTACAAACGGGGTCACATAAAAAATAAAGAATCACGATTTCTCACGTTTATTGACTGTGTACGTACGCGCGAAAATTGTGTCCACAGTGTTTGCTCGCGAGACACCGCTCGCGATCACTGGTTTATCTGTTTATTTTATAATTCCTATTTTTGGGGCCTATCAAGCGACCCGAAACGTTCTCCTCGCTGAAACGACACAAGCCTTTCTTCTCCTCCCTTCTCACTTCGTGCAAAAATACCCTCCTCGTGTATAATATTCAAACTCCCTTTCTTCTTTCTCTCTCTTCTTCTTCTTCTTCTTCTTTTTTCTTCTACAAGAAGCAAGCAAGCTCGTCTCTCGCAAAATAAGTATATAGTACATAGTATAGTATGTTAATCTAGCGGACTAGGAGGCTCCCTGAAATGTTTATGATATATGGAGGTGTTGGAACAGGTCTACGAGAAAATAGAGATAATTCTTTTTCTTCTTTTCGAGCGCAAACGAGGACAGTGTATATTCGTCGTCCTCCAATTCTGGAGGATCTGATCGAATTTAAACGGACGAAATATATTTATTTCTTTCCTTTGCTCTCTTTTCTGGAGCAAAAGTGTATAATACAAAGAATAAACGTGGATAATAATATTGGATTGGATAAAATAATTTTTTTTCGATTAAGCTTAAGTGCCATCTGCAATTATTATTTTCTGTTAATTTACTTATTGTTGTTCGATATTTTTAAAAGGCAAAGTGCGATATATATTTTTCATTTTATACCATGCTCGATAATTGCTTTTTGATCAACTTGTTTAGCCAGTCCCCTTCGCAAATATGATTTTATCATTTTATATTAATAGAGAAAAATGAGGATCCTTTTATACATCGTAGCTTAATTTATATTTATACACCACAGAATTAAACTACTTCAAAACCCCGTTTCATCCCCTCATCTGCGGCTAAAATATCCTCCGCCCACATTAATTGAAAAATAATATACGTTTAATACAGTATGCATATTATCAAATTATTTATTATTATTTTTGAGTGGCATAATTCGTTATCTATCTACTTTCTACAGAATCTACATTATCGTAGAGTAAAAATTGTAATATCGTTACGTTACTGGAGTCTGAAATAATATGGAATAATATAATTTACACACCGTAATTATATTTCGTCCATTTAAATTCGCTCTTTGATCTTCTTTGATAAATTCTTTCTCCATTTTATCGCTGAACATATATATATTCTTCTGACGCTCAACAATTTAACCCCTTAAGCGTTGAAACGCATTTTTTTATTGACTACTGTCGCAAAAAGTTTCCCAATCTTACTAGTTTTTCATTGCCAATAAAAACTTACGGATTATAATAAAAATAAGTTTAAAATCAATTAATTAGGACAATATAAAATTTTACTCTAACGCTAGAAGAATTCTATTACAATGAAACTGAATTTTAAATTGTTATTCCTTACGAAATTAATAATTGTTAAGATACAAATTCAATAATTTTCGATATTAATCAATTACTCGAAAGAAAATTTCTCTCCCACAAAATTTACACTGCGCAAGATCGTTTCGATTCCATCTCTTCGTATTACAACGCTGAAAGGATTAAGAAAACGATAAAAATATACGCTATCGCTAGAATCGTCTTAACAAAAATACCTTTACAATCCCTAAAGTTTGTTGCAACCACCCGTTTGGAGGACGAGTGAAAGAAGGATAGCGCTTAAAATCATCCCCCCCATTCTAAGAAGATTTACGCCTGTCTAAGACCGCCCCCTCTCTTCCCTCGAAATCTTTCAATTGCTGGACAATTTTTCCCTATTCGCTCGATATATCTGGTGTAGAAACATTTCGCGAGTCAACATCGAAAAAAGTACGAAAAGTACTCGCCTTAACTAGAAACGTGCTTTACAAAAGAAATATGGCGATTAACAACGAGTTATATGTACATATCCCATTATGTATATATATATATATATATATCTGACGACAAAAATTGTCCAGCGGTCAATCGATGAAAAATTCAGCCTGAACGATACGAGAGCACGTGTAAAATCGCGACGAGGAGGACGCGATGACCGCTAAATCGAGCACGCCTAAATCGCATGGAACGTCTAAATTGATCTGCTACGCAAGTTAACTCGTTATCTCGGACGAGATATCTTACACCAGAAGCAACGTAATCGATCAAATAGGGTTCGTTTACCTTTAATCGAGTTCGGCGTGAATAAATAACTTTCTTCGTTATGGAATACGATTAAATTAAATCCCTTGTGTCGTATTCCCCCCTTTAGCTCTCTCTTCTTCCCTCCCTATTCTATCCTTATGTACAATCGAAAGCAGTGGAGTAGCGTTTATAATTTTTCCTATATACGAGTTTTTGTGAGTTTTCGTTTTTTTATTCTTTTTTTTTTTTTTTGGAGCGCATTCTTCACGATTTTCTCCCCTTGATCTTTCGATTTCTTTTTTATTCCGTTTCACGCGAATATCGCCCAATGAAAATCTATCTACTATTTTCATATAACGAAACAATATTATTCCGCTAATATTTAAAGGATAGCAACAATTTAATTTATCCTTAAAAATATCCATTACCAGTCTATATTCGTAGCTAACGAGAACGAGAAACAAGTATATCTATATGTAACGAAATAGGTATGTAAAAATTTAAATGAAACAGTAGAAACGATACGAGAGATATTTAAAATCGTTACACGTAACGCGGTGTTTCTTTAAGTCCTATTGGAATTCAAAAATTACAATACAATACAGGAGTAGTGAGAGATTCGGATTATATCAAAAAATACACTAACTATTCCCATCTTAAAAAAATAATTCATAGGAATCTTTTTCTTTTTTCTTTTT